GCGCTTCGAACACCGTCTCCGACGGGAGGTAAATATGTTTGGGAAAGCACTGTTGGTTTGTGGTCTTTAAGCACACATAAGGACAGGCAGATATACGAACACACGTGCGCGCGCACACGCTCACAAGCACACATACACACACACACACACACACACACACACACACACACACACACACACACACACACACACACACACACACACACACACACACACACACACACGCACATATGGGCGCCTGACAAACCAGAGAACAGCGTTCCGATACCTTAGTAAGGAATCGTTCAAGACACTGTATACCGTGTACGTCAGTCCCATACTGGAGTACTCAGCACCTGTTTGGAACCCACACTTGGTCAAGCACGTCAAGAAATTAGAGAAAGTGCAAAGGTTTGCAACAAGACTAGTTCCGGAGCTAAAGGGTATGTCCTGCGAAGAGAGGTTAAGGAAAATCGACCTGACAACACTGGAGGACAGGAGCGACAGTGGGGATATGATAACGACATATAAAATACTGAGAGGAATTGACTAGGTTGATAGGGCCAATATATTTCATAAATGGGACATAGGAACAAGGAGACACAACTGGAAATTAACAACTCAGATGAGTCATGGGGATGCTGGGAAGTATTTCTTCAGGAAGTAGAACAATCTGGAGAGTTATGTAGTATGGGCAGGATCCACATACGGCTTTAAAATTAGGTATGGAGCACGGAGAGAGTGTGGACCTATTAACGACTAGCGAAGAGGCGGGGGCCAGGAGCTGTGAATCAGTCTGAAAAATGTGAATACACACACACACACACACACATCAACAAGACGCTTGTCATTAAATGATTAATAAAGTTTCAAGTTGTTAAGAAGCGTCGACGTCATGTTGGCACCTTTTAAAGAGTGTCTTGTGCACCATCAACATGTAAGGAGGGTGGACCTTGACCTGGCTCTCTAAGAGTGCCTCACTCAGTGCCACCACTCTAACACAGAAAATGAATCACTTCTCTCTCTCTCCCTTTCTTCATTCCTTTCCTCTCTCTCTCTCTCTCTCTCTCTCTCTCTCTCTCTCTCTCCCTCCCTCTTTCTCTTCACACGCATAAATACACACACAAGCCAGAGAGGGGACACAGAAACAAGAGGTCACAATCGGAAGTTGAAGACCCAGATGAGTCAAAGGAATGTTAGGAAGTATTTCTTCAGTCAGAGAGTAGTCAGGAAGTGTAATAGCCTAGCACGTGAGGTAGTGGAGGCAGGAACCATACATAGCTTTAAGATGAAGTATGATAAAGCTCATGGAGCAGGGAGAGAGAGGACCTAGTAGCACTCAATGAAGAGGCGGGGCCAGGAGCTGAGTCTCGACGCCTGCAACCACAGTTAGGTGAGTACACACACACACAAACAAAAACTTTTTAGTCAGCTGGGTACTTCAGACGGAAATGGGCCCTGATGGAGGGTCATCATTGATTTTAAGAGAGGGATCAGAAGCACTGTCTGAGCCGCTGGCTATGAGTAAACTATACAATATCTGGAAGACAGCGAATGAAGTTCCAACCTTTATAAAAAGGAGTTTAACAAGAAACATTCAACTACAGGCCAGTATCACTGCATACTATGTAAGGTAATGGAGAAGATAATCAGAAGAGGTCTACAGCACTTGGAGAGAAGTGGTCTGCTGAACAATAACCAATGCGAGTCTGGAGGCGGTAAATCCTGCTTTACACACGTGTTGGATTGTGCAGCTGAAGTGGCTGGTTTATTGTGCACCCCATATCCATACTGTGGATGGTAGCGCAAGAGAAAATAGATACACAAAAGGCCTCGAAACTAGGCCCCAAAAGGGTTAACAGGAGTGCATCTGGATTTATATCTACAGTTCACTTATCTGTTAAAAGCAATTTTAGGGAGTTTGTTTAATATGTCTGGTATCTTATTTTCATTAATAAGATATCTTGATATATCTCATAGGTAACTATACTATCTATATCTTTGTTCCTCAATAAGTAGACAATTAGGCCCATAGAGTTCAAGAAAGAGTGACCATAGGGATGGTCACATACTTTGCATTTGGTTTGATCATCATCTGTGTGTCTCTCAAACTGCGAGAAGTAACTTATAACAAAGTTTAGCCAGTGTTTTCATATTGCAATTTGCTCCATAAACGTGCTTATCTACGTTCATGTTATCATAGTGGGTTATAGATCTACTCAGGCTTCTAACTGCATTCCTACAACATTCACTTTAATTATTTACTTCTCTCCTAATATTATCCCTAATGCTAGACACAGATACCAGTCATATTCTACATACTCCTTCAGGTGTTTTTTTTTTTTGGAGGGGGGGGGGGCTATTTTATCAACTTTACCAGGAAGGAGTAATTTAATGTGCAATGGAATCTTTAAAAATTGTACATTAATTCCTTTTTCCCTGAGTTTTGAGTATCTATATCTGGTTTCTCGAATGAGTATGTTTTTAGAGTCATTATATAAAGTAAGTGCCTTCAGTAATGACGTACAATAATGCAATACAAGTGAAAAAAGAAGAGAATGCAAGATGGGTAAGATTTGTCACATTATTGGTCAGTATTTGATGATAGGGAAGACAGTGAATCCAAGAATGATGAAGGAAAAGAAGATAAAGAATGATTGTCCGTGAAGAAGAGTCAGAATGGGCAAGTGTGACAAGAGGGGTTCCGCAGTTATCAGGCTGTGAAATGGTGCCCGTACCTTGAAAAACCACGAGGTTATAATACTAGGTGTTCAAAGACATGCGACAAGGTAGATTGCGGAATAAGAAATTTAGAGTTACGAAGAAACACAGTAGTCACTGGGAATGCTCTTTCCAAATGGCAGGAGACAGCTCGATGCTGGAAGACAGAAGGAGAAGCACGAATGCTGGAAGACAGGAGAGACCTGGATGATAGAAGACAGAGGCATAGACCTGGGTGATAAAAGACAAGCAGAGACCTAGATGACTGAAAACAGAAGCAAAGGCTTGGATGCTGGAAGACAACAGACACCTAGATGCTGGAAGACAAGAGACACCTGGATGCTGGAAGACAAGAGACACCTGGATGCTGGAAGACAAGAGTCACCTGGATGCTGGAAGACTGAGTGCCCTCATATATGGTCAGACTAAACTGTATTTAGACAGGTTTCGCCCAGAGAGAGCTTTCTTAGATCGTGGCTTAATAAAGCTCTCCATGAAGAAACGTAATTTTAGTAAATTCTTCCTCTGCTCCTTCTCTCTCTCTTCCTCTCTCTCTCTCTCTTACCCAGAAGCAGAGGAGACGTGCAACAACATAGATGAACGTGTGTAAAAAAGAACCTTCCATAGGCTGTTTTGGAGTCAGTAACTGTTGTCAGTAACATTAGGCCTTAATTCTAAATATTTTACGGGTAGATAGGTGGAATGTAATTTTGGAAGAACTGGCATATGCCATAAATAATGAGAATTAAAAAAAATAGGTAAAATTTGCAAGAGAAAACATCATAAGTATGCGGACATACTTATGGTTACAATAGTTCATTACACAACAACACTGTGTTGATAAGATAAAATAAGATTTCGTTCGGATTTTTAACCCCGGAGGGTTAGCCACCCAGGATAACCCAAGAAAGTCAGTGCGTCATCGAGGACTGTCTAACTTATTTCCATTGGGGTCCTCAATCTTGTCCCCCAGGATGCGACCCACACCAGTCGACTAACACCCAGGTACCTATTTGCTGCTAGGTGGGCAGGATAACAGGTGTAAGGAAACGTGTCGAAATGTTTCCACCCGCCGGGAATCGAACCCGGGCCCTCCGTGTGTGAAGCGGGAGCTTTAGCCACCAGGCCACCGGGTCATCGAGTCATTTCTGTTGGCTTGAGATTATGTGTGTAGCCGGGGCAGCAGCGACGTTAGATGGGAGGAGGGAAGGAAGGGTTACCTGGAGGTTACCTGGAGGTTATTCCGGGGATCAACGCCCCCGCGGCCCGGTCCATGACCAGACCTCCCGATGGATCAGGGCTTGATCAACTAGGCTGTTACTGCTGGCCGCACGCAGTCCAACGTACGAGCCACAGCCCGGCTGATCCGGCACTGACTTTAGGTATCTGCCCAGCTCTCTCTTGAAGGCCGCCAGGGGTAAATTTATTGGTAATTCACCTAATGCTTGATGGGAGGCTGTTGAAAAGTCTTGGGCCCCGGACACTTATGGTGTTTTCCCTTAGTGTACCAATGGCGCCCCTACTTTTTATTGGGGGCATTTTGCATCGCTTGCCCAGTCTTTTACTTTCGTAGGGAGTGTTTTCTGTGTGCAGATTTGGGACCATTCCTTCCAAGATTTTCCAAGTGTAGATTATGATATATCTCTCCCTCCTGCGTTCCAACGAGTACAAGTCAAGGGGAGATGGGAAGAAGAGAAAAGGAGGGAGAAGGAGGAAAGGAAGAAAGGGGAGGGAAGTGAGAGAGTGCAGAGAGGGAGCGTAGTGAATAAGGAACAAAGTTGGAGATTTTCTTGAATAACAAGCATAAATGTTAAATTAGACACATGTGCAACTCTTGGGTATCTTTATTGAGGAAACATTTCGCCACACAGTGGCTTCATCAGTCCATAACTCTTGGGCACGACCTACTTCCACATTGGACAAATGTGACACCACCTACGACTGCTGCACCTCTCCTGCCATACGGTTTATAAGCTACTTCTCCGCTCATATGCCGTATTCTACTCAAGATTGATGGACTGACCACATCGACTCAAGGTTGAGGGACTGATTACCTCATTATCCTCCTGTTCTTCAAGTTTATCCTTTGTATGGACTGATAAAGCCACTGTGTGGCGAAACGTTTCCTCAATAAAGATACCCAAGAGTTGCACGTGTGTCTAATTTAACAACGTGTCGGTTCTCTGAACCATTCATCTACAAGCAAGCATAAAGCTTGTACCGACACACTGCACTATTGCAAAGGTAATGTCAACAAGACTAAGAAACTGATCACATTATAAACGGTATATCATACCTACAAGTTAATAACGTAGAGGGGGCTGGGCTTGTGGGATATGGGATACTTTTCTCGAATCGATATACTGAAGACGCTGTGACGTAAGTGTAGAAGTCTTGAAGAGGAAACTGGACATGTATCTTTACGAGGTACCAGATCAACCAGGCTGTTAACCAGGCAAGCACCAGACGTGCCTTGCCCTAGACTGGACTCCGGGAGTAGAATACTCTCAGAACTCATAAAATGTATGGTAAAGATAAAGGGAGTCCTGACCTCTCCTGACACCCTAGCCTCGCCTGACACTGACACCGAGACCTCTCCTGACACCCTAGCCTCGCCTGACACTGATACCGACACCTCTCCTGACACCCTAGCCTCGCCTGACACTGACACCGAGACCTCTCCTGACACCCTAGCCTCGCCTGACACTGATACCGACACCTCTCCTGACACCCTAGCCTCGCCTGACACTGATACCGAGACCTCTCCTGACACCCTAGCCTCGCCTGACACTGATACCGAGACCTCTCCTGACACCCTAGCCTCGCCTGACACTGACACCGAGACCTCTCCTGACACCCTAGCCTCGCCTGACACTGATACCGACACCTCTCCTGACACCCTAGCCTCGCCTGACACTGACACCGAGACCTCTCCTGACACCCTAGCCTCGCCTGACACTGATACCGACACCTCTCCTGACACCCTAGCCTCGCCTGACACTGATACCGAGACCTCTCCTGACACCCTAGCCTCGCCTGACACTGACACCGAGACCTCTCCTGACACCCTAGCCTCGCCTGACACTGACACCGAGACCTCTCCTGACACCCTAGCCTCGCCTGACACTGATACCGACACCTCTCCTGACACCCTAGCCTCGCCTGACACTGATACCGAGACCTCTCCTGACACCCTAGCCTCGCCTGACACTGACACCGAGACCTCTCCTGACACCCTAGCCTCGCCTGATACTGATACCGACACCTCTCCTGACACCCTAGCCTCGCCTGACACTGACACCGAGACCTCTCCTGACACCCTAGCCTCGCCTGACACTGATACCGACACCTCTCCTGACACCCTAGCCTCGCCTGACACTGATACCGACACCTCTCCTGACACCCTAGCCTCGCCTGACACTGACACCGAGACCTCTCCTGACACCCTAGCCTCGCCTGACACTGATACCGACACCTCTCCTGACACCCTAGCCTCGCCTGACACTGATACCGAGACCTCTCCTGACACCCTAGCCTCGCCTGACACTGACACCGAGACCTCTCCTGACACCCTAGCCTCGCCTGACACTGACACCGAGACCTCTCCTGACACCCTAGCCTCGCCTGACACTGATACCGACACCTCTCCTGACACCCTAGCCTCGCCTGACACTGATACCGAGACCTCTCCTGACACCCTAGCCTCGCCTGACACTGATACCGACACCTCTCCTGACACCCTAGCCTCGCCTGACACTGACACCGAGACCTCTCCTGACACCCTAGCCTCGCCTGACACTGATACCGACACCTCTCCTGACACCCTAGCCTCGCCTGACACTGACACCGAGACCTCTCCTGACACCCTAGCCTCGCCTGACACTGATACCGACACCTCTCCTGACACCCTAGCCTCGCCTGACACTGACACCGAGACCTCTCCTGACACCCTAGCCTCGCCTGACACTCTGACACCGCGACCTCTCCTGCCTCTCAAACCTTTCCTGTGACCGCAGTAAGACTAAATTTATACACCTTGACTACGATTACAGACAGGGCGGCATTAAGGCATGAGCTTAGGAGCTGCAGCCCGGGGCCCTCCACCAGCTGGAGGGCCCCCAAAGATTAGTGAAAGGTGTTCACAGTTACTGATGCAAGTTTATAATTTTTTTTTCAACAAGTCGGCCGTCTCCCACCGAGGCAGGGTGACCCAAAAAGAAACAAATTCCCTAAAAGAAAATACCTTCATCATCATTCAACACTTTCACCACACTCACACATAATCACTGTTTTTGCAGAGGTGCCCAGATACAACGGTTTAGAAGTATATATAAAGATATATAATATATCCCTCCAAACTGCCAATATCCCAAACCCCTCCTTTAAAGTGCAGGCATTGTACTTCCCATTTCCAGTGCTCATGTCCGGCTATATAAAAATAACCGGTTTCCCTGAATTCCTTCACTAAATATTACCCTGCTCACACTCCAACAGCTCGTCAGGTCCCAAAAACCATTTGTCTCCATTCACTCCTATCTAACACGCTCATGCACGCTTGCTGGAAGTCCAAGCCCCTCGCCCACAAAAACCATCTTTACCCCTTCCCTCCAACCTTTTTGAGGACGACTCCTGCCCCGCCGTCCTTTCCCTACAGATTTAAATGCTCTCCATGTCATTCTACTTTGATCCATTCTCTCTAAATGGCCAAACCCCCTCAACAAACCCTCTTCGGCCCTCTGACTAATGCTTTTATTAACTCCACACCTTCTCCTAATTTCCACACTTCGGATTTTCTGCATAATATTTACACCACACATTGCCCTTAGACAGGACATCTCCACTGCCTCCAACCGCCTCCTCGCTGCTGCATTTACAACCCAAGCTTCACACCCATATAAGAGTGTTGGTACTACTATACTTTCATACATTCCCTTCTTTGCCTCCATTGATAATGTTTTTTGTCTCTACATATACCTCAACACACCACTCACCTTTTTTCCTCATCAATTCTATGGTTAACCTCATCCATATAAACACATCCGCTGACACATTAACTCCCAAATATTTGAAAACATTCACTTCTTCCATAATCCCTCTCTCCAATGTGATATCCAATTTTTCTTTATCTAAATCATTTGATACCCTCATCATCTTACTCTTATCTATGTTATTACTCTACGTATATGACGAACTGTTGACTCTTGTGATTACTTTTTTCGTTGTACAAATATCACTGGGGGCCTCATAGTGCCTGTAGCCCAGGGGCCTCATAGCACCTGTAGCCCAGAGGCCTCACAGTATCTGTAGCCCAGGGGCCTCATAGCACCTGTAGCCCAGAGGCCTCACAGTATCTGTAGCCCAGGGGCCTCATAGCACCTGTAGCCCAGAGGCCTCACAGTATCTGTAGCCCAGGGGCCTCATAGCACCTGTAGCCCAGAGGCCTCACAGTATCTGTAGCTCAGGGGCCTCACAGTACCTGTAGCTCAGGGGCCTCACAATACCTGTAGCCCAGGGGCCTCACAGTACCTGTAGCTCAGGGGCCTCACAATACCTGTAGCCCAAGGGCCTCATAGTACCTGTAGCCCAAGGGCCTAGCAGTACCTGTAGCCCAGGGGCCTCATACTACCTGTAGCCCAAGGGCCTCACAATACCTGTAGCCCAAGGGCCTCACAGTACCTGTAGCCCAAGAGCCTCGCAGTACCTGTAGCCCAGGGGCTTCATAGTACCTGTAGCCCAGGGGCCTCACAGTACCTGTAGCCCAAGGGCCTCACAGTATCTGTAGCCCAGGGGCCTCACAGTACCTGTAGCTCAGGGGCCTCACAATACCTGTAGCCCAGGGGCCTCACAGTACCTGTAGCTCAGGGGCCTCACAATACCTGTAGCCCAGGGGCCTCACAGTACCTGTAGCTCAGGGGCCTCACAATACCTGTAGCCCAGGGGCCTCACAGTACCTGTAGCTCAGGGGCCTCACAGTACCTGTAGCCCAAGGGCCTCACAGTACCTGTAGCCCAAGAGCCTCGCAGTACCTCTAGCCCAGGGGCCTCATAGTACCTGTAGCCCAGGGGCCTCATAGTACCTGTAGCCCAAGGGCCTCACAGTTTCTGTAGCCCAGGGGCCTCACAGTACCTGTAGCCCAGGGGCCTCACAGTACCTGTAGCCCAGGGGCCTCATAGTACCTGTAGCCCAAGGGCCTCACAGTACCTGTAGCCCAAGGGCCTCGCAGTACCTGTAGCCCAGGGGCCTCACAGTACCTGTAGCCCAGGGGCCTCACAGTACCTGTAGCTCAGGGGCCTCACAGTATCTGTAGCCCAGGGGCCTCACAGTACCTGTAGCTCAGGGGCCTCACAGTACCTGTAGCTCAGGGGCCTCACAGTACCTGTAGCCCAAGGGCCTCACAGTACCTGTAGCCCAGGGGCCTCACAGTACCTGTAGCCCAGGGGCCTCACAGTACCTGTAGCCCAGGGGCCTCACAGTACCTGTAGCCCAGGGGCCTCACAGTACCTGTAGCCCAGGGGCCTACAAAATCCGACTCTGGTTACAAACTGACTTTGTCGGGTTATCCTATGTTAAATATACATTTCAAGAACATTGCAAATATTTTTTCTGGGCCTAAACAATCTTAGCAGGCCGTGTCTACGGCCGCAAGGGGGGTAACTGTTGTTGTTCCGGCTGGTCGTGTGGTCCCACTCAAGTGTGGGTAACTTGAGGGGTGAGTGTTACCAGATGTACCACATGGTGTAGTAATGGTGAGTCATTATCGTGAGTCATTAACAAAACGCTGCCTGCTCGTTCAGGTAGCGATACTAGACAAGGAACTGCTTTTAACTCTCGAAAACAGTGGCCATCAACACTGACTACAGATGACCTACTCAACTGACCATCATGCCACTCCATCCTGTCTGTTTTACATATAATATCGTATCACATGTGTTATGTGTTAACATCTTGGCTGATTAATGGGGTTTAATGCTTATCAACTACATGAGGGTCCTTAAGATTGACTGTAACCAGTCAAGAACACTTATTTCTCTGAAATAGGCATCAATTTCTCACTGTATATACACCGAAATATACATGTCACGGTGTATAATTTTGCATATTAACATTTGCTATGCAAATATTGTCCGCTACGATATGTTTAACTAATCCTGCCATTTTAAAACAAGTTCGATTAGTTTAATATGCTCATTATTATTATTATCATTATTATTATTATTATTATTATTATTATTATTATTATTAATTATTATTATTATTATTATTATTATTATTATTATTATTTATTATTATTATTATTATTATTATTATTATTATTATTATTATCAAAACCAAGCATTAAACCCACCAGGGTCATACAGCGTTGTATATGCTCAATAATAACCCACTTGGAGACAGAAATACAGAAGATTAATTAACCATATCACGGGCGGGGATAGAACCCGCGATCAGAGTCTCAAAACTCCAGACCGTCGCGTTAGCCACTGTCTGGAGTTTTGAGACTCTGATCGTGGGTTCTATCCCCACCCGTGGTATGGTTGTTTGCAATCGTGTCATTACGATTTCGTGAGTCAAGATTAATTAGTGTGTATTTCACTCCCCTTCTGTGATCCTCCTCGCTTAGTTCAATATTTTTATTAGTCACCCCATACCCATTGTGTGGGAGGTAGTCACACCATACCCATGGTGTGGGAGGTAGTCGCACCATACCCATGGTGTGGGAGGTAGTCACACCATACCCATGGTGTGGGAGGTAGTCGCACCATAGCCATGGTGTGGGAGGTAGTCACACCATACCCATGGTGTGGGAGGTAGTCGCACCATACCCATGGTGTGGGAGGTAGTCAAAAGGATTACAAGGGCATATAATAGATCCACAGACTGAACATCAAAGTTCTGATAGCTAAACAAGTGACAGTAGTAACGATCTAGTTACGTATTTATATATCTGTTTACAACTGTAATGAGACCACTGTACGAATGGGGATTAAACTCGCGGCAAGTAAGTCGTAAAACTCCAGGCTAGCGCGTAATGAATTGTTAATTCAGACCGAATTTTAAAAATCCTCGGAAACCCCGTCCAAGCAAAAAGGTTTGGAAAAGTTTTTAAAGTATAAGTGCATGATACAAAAATCACAAAAAGAGCGATTAAAAAAAAAATCGAAAAAACAAGTCACACTGGAAGGGGAGAAGTTAATGAAGCTCAAGGGGTCCATGTACAAATTTGTTTTCCCCCCGTCAGGGGTTGGTTTTACTTTTTGGTAAATGGGAAAGGATTCAGAAACCGCCAGCAGGGGAAAAGCCAAATAGGCTTGTAGTTGATTTGGGTTTGGGGGGGGGGAGGGAAATATTCCGGCGCGCTCACCCAAAAAACGGAAAAAATTTTGGAAATTTGGTTTTTATTATACCAAAGGGGGACAGTTAGGTTTCCCTTTTTTGTTGAATGTGTTGCCTATACAGTAGGGTTTTTTCAGTCAGATTTGGGGGCAGCAGGTTGTAGGAGTGAAGTAAGATGATATAATCAAATCCCTCAGCCCTTTGGGGATATGAGGGGTCAGTTTCCCCCAGCCCGAGAAGAGTTCAGCCCCCCGCCGGAACGGGTAAAGAACTGAACAGAGGGTTTGGGAATCTTAAAGGGGGGGGGAACCAGTCCCCGAGGGGGCGACAAAACCCCGATCTCCAAGATTGATGGACTTTATAATATCATCTTAATTTCACTTCTATATCTTTGGCATTAGTATTTTAAATGAAAAAACCTACTGTGAGGCGAAACGTCCCCAAAATAAAGGGTACCCAACTGTTGCCCCAGCTTCTTTAGGGGGGGTTTATTTCGTTTTCCCTAGTTTACAATGTTTTAATTACAATTTTTAATTTTGGTTTAAAACAAAGAAAATCTTTTAAATTTTAAAAACATTTAAAGCACAATTGGTAGTCTTTGGGTCAGTGGAAAAACAAAGTACAAAAAAGGGTACGAAAAACCCAAACCTAGAGGAAAAACAGTCTCGGGAAAAAAATTTTTAGGGGGGGATGGAGAGTTTTTTGGGGGTGAGTTTACACGCTGCGGGGAACTCCTGGGTTTTCGAATTTTGCGAACCCCAGGACCCCCGGAAACCACACACACTGCTGGGGGACTCCCCGGGCGAGTACAGAAAAGTGCTTTTACCAAAAACAAGGGCATCCCCCGCGTTGCAAAAAGCATTCCTTTTGCAAAAAGAGATCAAAGAGCGTGTCTACTGCCCCTGTACTAATGCTACTACTAGTTTTGGTTAGTTTTAAATGCTAGCATGGTGTTTTACATAACAATAGTAGTTTTTAAATGCTACGACTTTTACAACTATTCTATTCTACTGCTAGTAGTTAATAATTCTTCTTTTGTACTATATGTTCTGAAGTAGTAGCCAAAAGTTTATATACAAACCCACAACCCCTTTTTTCCCACCCATAGTATATACAGACGCGTTTTTTTTAAACCCAAAACACAAAGACACACACACCACCACACACCCCAAACACACCACACACAAACAAAACACCCCAAAACTCCCCCACACACACTGAAAGTTGGGATAGTAAGCAAAGGGCTGGGTAAGATTATCAGGGGAGAGTGGGGGAGCACCTGGAACGGAAAAAGTTTTAAAGGATAAACCCCACGGATTCATGGAAGGCAAATCCTTTGTCACAAAACCCTTTTGGGTTCTATACAAAGTTACAGAAATTGGGGAAAACGAAAGGGGAGGGGGGGGTGGATTGCATTTTTTTGGAAATGCAAGGGAAAGGCCCTTTGCACATTCCTCACAAAGACTAGTTCAGAAACTAAGGGTCAGGGGGGCGTATAACCGGAAGGACCCCTGTAATGGGTCAGGGGAAACCTGACAGGGAGGCAACAAAAAGAGTATGGTACGGATGAGGGCCCAGTGGGCAACCCGTGACGACCGGGGGGGGCCCACAGGGGGGGGCTTAGGGCCATGCTATTTCGGTATAGTGAAAGGGCATGATGGAAGGGGGGTGACTCAGAGGTGTCCCTGGTTTGCAGATGATTGAAGTTAATGAGAATTAAAAAAAGGGAAAAGGGCCAGGGAGGAATTCAAAGAGGCCTTGGGCGGCTGGACACGTGATTTCCCGCAACTGGGTTCCCTTTAATTTTAAACCCTCCAGGGGCAAAAAATTTTGAAGCTCGGGGAAAAAGGGCCTAAGGGAAAACCGCGGGGGGATATAGACAAAGGGTCTCCCACCCCCCGCAAACCCCAAATTTGGTGAGTACACACACACAAAAAAACCCTTTTCAAACCCCTTTTTTTCTTTCTCTTCCCTTTTTCTTTATTTTAAAATTTTATATATATATATAAAATAATATTATTTTATTATAAATATTTTAAAAAATATATATATATATTATTTTATATATATAAAATATTTTATAATTTTATATAAATAAAAGAAATATGTTTGTGCCGTAGGCAGAAAAATTTCATCTTTTTCTTAAATAGCAAAAGTTTATCTTGCCCCCTATTTGGAAAAATGAAAAAATTTTTGTATGCAAATTAAATTTTGCCAAAACATTTTGAACCTAACGAAAAAAAAAAAATATTTTTACTGTGTTTTTTTTTAGTATTAAATTACTGTAAAAAAATCCAAAAAACATTTTTTGGGTTAAAGGGGAAAATAATTATCTTTTTTTTAATAAGGGTTTGGGAAAATTTTTTTAAGTTTTTTTTGGTGGGAAAAATTTTAAAAAATTTTTTTTTTAACATTAATGAAAAAAATATATCTTTAAAAAGTAACAAGAAAATTTTTAGAAAGGGGCTTAATTTTAAATGAGTTTTTTTGCTAAAAAGACCCGTTTTTCATATTCGGGACGCATTTATATTTATATATATATATATTTTAATATAATATATATATAAAATAAAAATTTTATATAAAATATTTTGAATTTACAATTTCCCTACAAAACCCGCCCCCACAAAACAAAGACCACGCCTCACAAAACAAAAAACCACCGCCTAAAAACACAAAGAACCACGCCCCCAAACACCAAAAACCACGCCTCACAATACAAAGACCACCCATCACAAAAACAAAGACCCCCGCCTCACAACACAAAGACCCCCCCCACAACACAAAGACCACGGGCCCCAAAAACACAAAGACCAACCCCCCACAAAACCCAAAAACCAACCCTCACCAAAACCCCAAAAAACCCCCCCCCTCACAATTCAAAAACAAACCCCCCACAATACAAAAACCCCCATCCCAAAACACAAACCACCCCCCACAAACCCAAAAACCCACGCCTCACAACACAAAGACCAGCCTCCAAAAAACAAAGACCACCCCTCACAAAAACAAACCAAACCTCCCAAAACAAGACCAACCCCCCCAAAATACAAAACCAACCCCCAAAAATACAAAGACCACCCCCCCACAATTCAAAACCACCCATCACAAACACAAGACCACCCCTCACAAAACAAAGGGCCACGCCTCACAACACAAAGACCACCCTCACAACACAAAGACCCCCCTCACAAAAACCAAAAAACCCCCCCCAAACACAAAAAAACCCAACCTCACAACAAAAAAAGGGCCCACCCCCACAAAACAAAGAAACCCCCCCTCACCCCTACAAAGGGCCACCCATCACAACACAAGACCACCCCAAACACAAAGACCAAGCCTCAAAACACAAAGATACCCCCCCACAATACAAAAAACCACCCCCCAATACAAAAAACCACCCCTCACAAAACAAAACCAAGCCTCCCCAAAAACAAAGGGCCACCCCCCACATACCCCAAAAACCACCCCCCACAATACAAAAAACCCCCCCTCACAACAAAAGACCAAACCCCCACAACAAAAAAGACCAACCTCACAAACCCCCAAAAAAAAACACGCCCCC